GCATTCGTCAAAAAACGCTCCATCTTTTTTGACGTTGCTTTCTTAACGCCAATAGTTGGATTTTTAGTGATTCTATATTCCCAAAGCTCTGCATGGTTAAAAGCACAGCTTAATAAGCTTAAGCATTTTGATAAAGCCCCTGGTATGTGACTCATAGAATCACAAAAATCCAAAACGTCTTTTCTCTCAATTTGAGAGAGGATCTTGTCCCCAAAAAAAGGAAGAATGTGCTTATGAGTTCTGTATTTATCTTTGAGAATGGTATTGGGCTTATGATTGAGTTGAATATGTTTTTCCTCAAATATCTTCCAAAAATCATTGAATAACATAGACGCTTTTTTATCTGTTTCTTTTTGAGCCTTCTCTTTTCGAGGATCTATCCCATTAGAAATTTTAAGAACCGTTTCTTGAGCATGTTTACCAAAGGTGATAACAATTTGTTTTTTCTCCAAATTGCGATATTTGTAGATGTATACCTTTCGACCTGTTGGATGAACAATACAACCAAGTCCTGTAATCAGTGAATCCCAGACCGTATCTTCTTATCTCTTTGTTGAAGAGATTCAATGTATTTCTTCGTAAACTTCGTTCCCATTGTCTTTTCCTCTTATCAAATTGACTCACAAATTGAATACCAAAAAATGCATATTCCAGCAAGTTATAAAGATAGAAAAAATAAAAACAAGCATTAGAAATACACCTTAAAACGGCTGTCACAGCAAAAAATAGGAAGAAACAAAGGAGCAGAGAAAAAAGAAGAAGGTAGGATTAGTAATGCTCTTTATCTCCTCCCTAACGAGACTATCATATTCTTCAGGAATACCTTTTATTTGTACCTTTGCGTAAACATATTGCTCCAAGTTGTTCACTTGAATCTTAACGCCGACACTCTCTGGTAAAAATTTGACTTTTGATTCAAGAGACGCCTCATAATATCCAAAGGTTTCTAAAATCTCTTTTAAAAGCTTGAGATCAGAACGAACAAGCTTTTTTAAAAAATGTTCGCTTAAAATTCTTCTCTTTTTATAACGTTGAAGCTTTGAACGGCTTTCAAATTCCTTAAGAATTCTACTATTCAGATCCCCTTCTAATGTTAGAGATAAAAAATCTTGCCCATGCACGGTGAGGCATTGCAAAAAACAATCCCTACCATGCACACTAAAAAAAATTTAGAATGGCAAATAAAAAACTGCTTCAAAATTAACCTCACACTTCTAAGCACTCGTTGTCATAATTTTTTGCAATGCGCTATTTTAAAACACTAAAAAAATAAGTATTTGCGTGAAAGAGCTTTTGATTATTCACACTCCCCCCCTAGAAATTAACATCAAAAAAGTGCATCATGCATTAAAAGGATAAAGGGGAGAAAATACAAATGCTTAAAAACACGATGACGTCTTATGGCTCCATGTCCAAAATCTCCATTGGGTTATGGCAATTCTGATTATTAGTCTCCTTATTGTGGGTGTTATTATGAACCGTATGGAGCCTTCTCCTGACAAGTGGGAACTCTATGGTCTTCATAAAGCTTTTGGTGTCATTGCTTTTGCTTTAATTTTAATCCGCATTGCTTGGAAATCGATTAATCCGGATCCTGAGCTGCCACCAACCACACCCAAATGGCAACAATATGCCTCTAAAATAAATATTTTGAGCCTTTATGCTTTGATGATCCTTATGCCTTTTTCCGGGATGAGCATGTCTCTTTTAGGCGGGCACCCCATTAACTTCTTTGGCCTATTCACAATCGAAGCGATTTCAGAAAAGAACCCAATAGGCGGTATCGCTCATGAAGCTCACTGGATCTTAGGCTATATTATGATCGGCCTTTTAATCCTCCATGTTGCAGCGGCTCTACAACATCACTTTATCCACAAAGACAATATCTTAAAAAGAATACTACCTTGGTAACCAAAGCCTTACACCTTCCAGGTTAATAATATAGTATCTTGTTTTTTACTATTACAAGAAAAAGTCTTGCAAAAGAAATAGATCCTGGCCACTCTGCCCTCAGAAATATTTTCTAAAAAGAGGCTTAATAATGTCTGATATTTTAGTTGTTATCCCTAGCCGCCTAGAATCAACGCGTTTGGCGCAAAAGCCCTTGGCTGATATTGGTGGAACGCCTCTCGTCGTCCATGCTTGGCGCCATGCCGTCAATGCCGATGTGGGCGAGGTTATTGTCGCATGTTGTTCAGAACAAGTTGCTGATGTTGTAGAATCCTCTGGAGGAAAGGCGGTCTTAACAGACCCGGCCCTTCCTTCCGGATCTGATCGTGTCCACGCAGCAGCCCAAGCAATTGGAGGTTCTGCAGAAATCATTGTTAACTTACAAGGAGATCTCCCTTCAATCCGTCCAGAAACGGTTCGGGGAGCTTTAAAGCCTTTAGACAATCCTCAAATTGACATTGGAACAGTGGCTGCAATCATGGCTCCTGAACTTAAGAATGAACCAAGCGCTGTCAGCATTGCAACACACCTTGATGAAAATGGCCTGGGACGCGCCCTTTATTTCTCCCGCTCTCCCATTCCTTGGGGAGAAGGCCCCCTATATCATCACGTTGGCCTTTATGCTTACCGCCGTAACGCCT